GTCTGGTAGCTTGTTATAATCGCTTGGCCAATACGTTGGTTCACCTATGGAGAGGTGGTTACAATTTCGTCTATTCATTGCTTCCAGAAGGTTTCTTCCTTTAGTTGTAATGAGTCTTGCTCCCCATTGGGTGTGTTTGGTGTTCCAGTCACCTCCTATTATATACTTGGATCCGTAGGATTCAAGAAATTCAACGTATTCTTCACTTGATATTGAATGTTTTGGGGGACAGTATACTGCAGACACTATCAAAGGCCATGGCTTCACATTAACTTTGACGTTGGCTGCTTGGAATTTGACATTTTGGTGATGCGTGAGCTCGTGATGAGAAATTGAATTACAGATGATGACGGCAGCACCACCACGAGCCCTGTCGCCTGGGTGAGGTATGTGGTATACTTTGAAGTTTGCTACTTTAAACACAGTTCTGGTGCTAAAATGAGTTTCTGATATCAAAGCAATGTCAATTTTATGTATACTGAGGAAAGTTTATAGTTATAGTTTATGGCTTATTAGCCCATTGGCATTCCATAGTACTATCCGCAATGAGCTGTGCAGTGGTGGTAGTTTTGTTGATGATCGCGTTGAGTAGGCTGAGAATCATACTGTTTTGGTTTACGAGCTGGTTGAACAGTGTCTTAAACTCACTTAGGAACATTGATGATTGGTCTGCCATAATGGGTGACTGCTGATTTTGCGTGAGTACTTGTGAGTATGAGGTTTGGTTTAGTGATGAACCAAAAATATGTGCATGCTAAACAAAAAAAAAGGTAAAATGCTTACAAAAATTTTAGAAATACTGAAGAGTACTCCACCATTCTGTGATGACTTTTTATGTGGGAGGTCCACAGTTTGACACTTGGCTTCCTCGTTTTTGTCTGCCCCTCTAGCCAAATGCAGGGATACAATATGAATTAGGCTATAACTGGTGCCTTCCAAATCCTTTTCAGTTCACTGACCATCTTACTATTTGGTGCTATATGTGTTATTAATGGCTTCATAAAATGTACCAAACAAAAATTGTGTGACTGTATATATTTGTGTACAAAAACATCATCTTTAATTAATTATGTAAAGGAATTCATTCCATTGTAATTATACAGTTCGTTTCTTTAAGCTTTTTGTGGTAGGGTGAGACTGAGTCCACTTGGTACATCAGCCATTAATTGGCCTATCATATCAGTCCCAGATGATAGATGAGTGTGAAGCAGTTGGTGGAATGAGAATTAGCAGGGAAAACTGAAGTACTCAGAGAAAACCTGCCCCAATGCCATTTTGTACACCACAAATCACACATTTGATAATCTGGGATTAAGCCTAGGCTGCTATGGTGGGAAGCAGGCCACTAACTGCCTGAGCTATGGCATGCCAATTACACACAGTAAGTCTTATAAGAAGATGGACAGATTTTTGACATAGTTTGCTTGACCTCGCAATGAAAACATTGATTTAGTGTAAGAGAAGCCATTCATCTAGAGATTCATTGAACAGAAATTTCACTGTAAATCAAACTGGCTTTTGTATACAAAAGATAAGAAATGTGTTTGAGGCAGGGTAATATTTGTTCACAGGTGCATCCTAGTGCGTTCAAGTCACTAATGCAATACATATACACTGCGCGGCTGGAAACGCACATAGAAGGAGTGGATGATTGCATGCGTTTGGCTGTACAGTGCAGGCTTCCCTTGTTGAAGAAGGAGCTGAAAAATATGGTGAAGAAAGTTAATTCATATGGTAAGATAATTTATTTCATGGATTGACTGACTAGTAGGTTATTTAACAATGCTGGTTTTACACAGCAGGTGTTATGTGGTGTTCAGTTAGGTAGGAAGCTTGTAAGTGTTTAGAAAGATGTCACCTCTGGCCCATTTGAAGATACTGCTTTGTTTGAAGAGTGAGGGAGACAGGAGAATGTCTGTTGGAGTAGCCTTTTTTGTTTGTCAAGGTATAAAGATGGGATCCCTTTGGGTGCAAAGCACTGTTTTTTTCCTTTTATGGTTTATTTAACAGTACTGTTATAGTTTTGTATTTGTATAATGTTGATTGTTTGGGTGATTTGTTAATAATGAGCTGAAAAGGATCTGGAAGGAGGCAGTGTTTTTTTAAGTTTGGTATTTAATGACCATGCAGTATCCTAGTTGGTTGAGGCACTATGCTACAAACTGGAAGGTCGCAGGTTCAAGTCCCGATGAGGTCATTGGATATTTTCAATTGACCCAATCCTTCCAGCCGCACTATGGCCCTGGGATCGACTCAGCCTCTTAACAGAAATGAGTACCAGGAATTAATTAAATAATTTTCCTGGGGAGTAAAGCGCGGCAGGTGTGTAATGCTGACAACCTTACCACCATCTTTGAGCCAATTGTCTAGAGAATGTGGGAGCCTCAACATCTCACAACCTTATGGGTCTTCACGGCCTGTTACAGGGATAGCTTTCCTTTTTTACGAGTATCTATTGAAGCTATCAATATTGAGACTATAAACTGTGATAGAAGTGGTTATGACCAAATCAAGATGTTCTACTGGCATGTCCCTCTAGGGAGTGAGGAGAATAATGAAAGCCCTTATTCAAGAGAGCCAGTGTGATTCACCTTCTAAATACAAGTCTGGTGTGTTACTGCTTTATCCAGCTGTTTGATCTGCCTATTGAAGTACACTGAAAGCTCACTAATTCAGAATTCATGATAATTCAGATGATGTTCTCGGCAACTTCTAGAACTAAACTGTGAACTATCTGATCCCTTCGAAGCTGAACTTTTATGACCTGGTCTCGGATGGAATAGAACACATCATGTAGGAGCCTTTGGTCTTGGCCGCTGTCATGCTACGAACCCTCTGTTGTCTTTTCCTCTCCTGGGAAACGCGTTTGTTGCTTAAGGCATTCCTAGGCAATGGCCCACTGTTATTGCATTTCCATGGAAGTATACCTTCCAGATTCCTGACATGCGGCAAAATATATATGTATATATATATATAAAGAAGTTACTGTTAAAATGTTAAATTCACCAAACAGACTTCTACAGGACACCCTGTTTCTCACTCCTTTAATGAGCCTTAGACCTTTTTTTGTAATTTAAAGACTGAATTACTGTTATTTACTCACCCATAAAAATAATACCAGATTTCATCAAATTTACTAAAATAATCACTTCTTAGTGCTGGTAAACTTACTGAGTCTCCTATGGCTTTAATCAAATAAAGAGCTTTGTTTAATTTATGGCAGAGATATTGCTTATGATTGGCCCAGCTTAAGTTATCTGTAATATAAATACCCAATAATTTGAAATTTGATGAGTAAGTTATTTCTTTACTTTTTAGATACAGAGTGGGTCCATGTGTTAAACTAGATCCTCTTCCCTGAAATAGTACTGCTTTAGTCTTTACAGTATTTATTACAAGATTATTTGTTTGGAACAAGTTTTCTAGTTGTTTCATGACTTACTGATTTTTCTTTTAACAATGGGTCGTTTTTCTCTCTGAGTGATATATGTGTGTCATCCACAAATAACACCACCTTAGCTTCTTGAACTGCTTGGAGCAAATCATTTACAAACAACAAGAACAGAAGGGGTTCCAAAACAGAATCCTGAGGTACACCATATTTTATTTCTTTACATGATGAAGCAGGCAGCTTTATATTTGTGGTCTTTTCATCTAAATGCTGTACTTCTACAAATTGTGTTCTACCAGTAAGATATGAAGTTGTCCATGAGTGTTTTTCCCTCTAAGTCCATACAGGTCCAAACTGAAAAGCAGTAAATTATGATTTATTACATCAAAGGCCTTAGTTAAATCTAAAAATATGCCCAAAACTAACAGCTTATTATCTAATGCTTTCTTGATATCCTCTATGAAGGTTTGTGTTGCTGTATTGGTAGATTTCTTCCCTGATTAGCAAGATGTGGTAAAAGAACAGTACAAAAGAGAAACATAAACCAAAATGCATTATATATAATTTCAGAATAATTCTGTAATCTATGCAGGATATGTATGGAGTGGAAGTTATCACAAGCAAGAAAGAAGGAGGGTAGAGAAGTGATGTACATAATTCGCAGACACAGTGGCCAACATGAGTTCCATTACGTCAGACTTGATTCTGTGTAATGTTCATTATGGCATGAAATGCACTCAGAGGTACTTCCCTGTCCTAAACCACTAAGAAACCCATATAGTATGCTCCTTCGTCAATATTTGTTAGTGTCTGCTTTATACTCATCTTGAATGTAGTATAACTGCAATGACATGAGCAGTTGTCATCGAAGTGCCCTCAATCATGGAGCTGAGCCCATCTTGAGAAGCCACCAGTTGTGCAGCTACTCAAGAACTTGCCAGCATTTTATGGAACCAGAAGATTCATTACCATATATTAACACTTTGCGGACCGCACACCCTTTAGAAGGTTTTTCGCTTTTAAACATGGCGGACTGTTCGCGTGTTAACAGGCTTTTAAAACATGGTAAGTTGCAACAAACTATACATTGCTTTGGCGCCACCTACATTGCACGCAACCACCTGCAGATGTGTGATAAGACTCTGGAACGTTTAGTTAGCAGTCAGTAACCTGACCTCACTGTTTACTTAACCGACTATAAAGGAAAATGCTTTGCCTTCTTGAAGCTGTGTGTATCAGCCTGTAGCTAGTGGGGAGAATGGATCAAGGACAAATTCTCCTGCGATGCCCTAGCTGACCTGCCTTGTGAGATGCGTAGTAATGGATTGTCATTCAGACAGCGACAGTGATGGGGGACAACAAAGAATTGTGGCCACAGACAGTAAAAGTGACAGTAGCTCCGACGATAATGCGGGTAATAACATTGCGCGTAGTAACATTGCGGGGACAGCAAAAACTCTAAAAAAATTTAAACCCTGATTCAAAATTGAAATACAAAGCATTTCTGATGAATGAGGCAAAGGCCTGTGCTACAGACCAGATGGTGGCGGCAGAATCAGGGTCACGCAAAGACTTAGTATGACTGGGCTCTTCAGCTCCCACCCCACGAAGGCCTCATGTGGACCCGCTAGGGCGACACTTGGGTGACATGCTGAAAAATACTCTCTTGAAAATTGTGAAGAGTGAACATTCCAAGAGGAAGAGTCCTTCTAGGCAATGCCGTGTTTGCACAGTTCACAAAAAAAGGAGTATATTTACATTTGCAAGTTCTGTGTAATGCCACTTCACAAAGGGGAGTGTTTCCAGAAATATCACACCCTCAAGCACTTCTAGGAGCATTGATAAGTGTTCTCCAAAAATTTTAGTTCAGAAAATTAATTAGGAGATTTTATATTAATTTTTAAATTTAACAGTGCACAAGTTAGTGTAGTATGTTTAAAAATGCTGGTTCCCAGGGTGATTTAAATATTTAAATCGCCCGTCCTCAAAGCGTTAACAAGAGCCCTCCACTGGTCCCTATCCTGAGCCAGATTGATCCAGTCCATACCATCTCATCCTACCTCTCTGAGATCTATCTTAATATTGTTCACCCACCTATGTCTTGGTCTTCCTAGTGGTCTCTTTTTTTCTGGTTTTCCCACCAATATCCTATATGTATTCCTCTTTGCCCCCATTCATGCCACATGTCCTGCCCATCTCAATTGATGTGCCCTCAGTTTCTTAAAAGCAATGTGTGTCAGTAGTTGTCTACTGCTTGTTGCTAGTTGCTGTGGTATGAATCCTTCCTTAACCCTTTGACGTGGTCATTTAAATTCCGCGGCCGCGGCTCCTGCGGTAATATATTCAGCCGGGCATTTAAATATTGCTCGAAAATGATTTATTCATCATTGTTCTTAAATTATATGAGATAGGATCATGAAACTTTCAATAAAATGATCTTAAAAGGTGGTTTTATAACCTTGCCTTATAATATGAGCGCCCGTTATCTCGGCAATGGAAGCAGTTGGTTTAGAATTTGAGCAGTGTATTGTACGCCTTGAAGCATGAAACTTTCACTAAAATGATCTTAAAAAATTGTTTTATAACTTTGCCTTATAATATGAGCGCCCGGTATCTCGGTAGTGGTTCAGATTTTGAGCGGAGTGTTGCACGCATTGAAGCATTCTACTATACACAGCGCTGACTCACATCACCATACCAGTACTGCGTATCTCTCTCATTTGGCTCTTTTTCCGTAAACAAAACATCTTCTGTGCGGCCTTGCCTTCCCCGTGGGGGGAATATAAGAAGAAATGTCTCTCCGTGAGTCGTATCGCTAGCCAGATTAGCTGCAGTAAATTCAACCTTTATGTTATCATAACAAGTGTTGGTGCTTCTGCGTTTCATTTTCCATCCATTTTGGCGGCATAAGACGTCGTAGGGGTGACCACAGAATTCATGAAGTTATTCTAAGTACTGGCTGGATTGTAGTGCACGAAAACAGAGCCTAGCTGGCTCAAAAAAATATTTATGGTCATCCCTCGAAACGACCACCAAGGTCAGTACGATAAAATGGCGTCAACTGGAGCGATAATGAGTACTTTTCCCTCCCCCACACACATCCGTATCGTCTCAGGGGGTGACCACAGTGTTCTGCCTTAAATTGTGGCGTTTTTCTCAGAACTGGGCCTTTGTACTGTGCGAAATCAATGGATCATGCGAGAATAAATTTCTGGACAACCTTATTCTAAGAATTCCAGTTGAGTGTGTCAATGTGGCCAGCTCAGGGCAATATGATATCATATACAACAGTAAACATCACGTCTCTTCTGTTTATATCTTCAAAGCAAAGTAAACACGCTTTCATAACAGTACAGCTAGAAACCGCTCGCCAGAACCACAGGAACTTTGCTGCAAGACAGGCATATGTAACGATGTCTTGGCGCAGATAAAGTCGTGTCTTATTTATACTCTGTTCTACTGACAACAGGCCAGCGAAAAATCTAACAATCTACAGCAAAACCATCAATTATTATGGGCGTTATAACATAGGTGTGCAGCTGAACGAAACATACACGTCGAACCCTCCCAGACGATTTAAATCCCTGACGAAACATACACGATGAACCACGGCAACGGGTTAAACGACGTTTGAACAAACAGGATTTGTGTAATGCTTTAGACGCTGTTTTCTTTCAGAGTGCATGAAACCTGGAACAAGCATAAAGACGTTGACATTGGAGTCTGCTGAATTGGCAGCTAAGCTGCAACAAGACCTGGGTGTGCTTTGCTTGCAGGGTGTGCCACAGAAACTGCGCACGTGGCTTAAAGGTGTTCGTCGTCCTCGCAGGCCAATTGTGCCTCTCTTCCTAGTAGACATCTGCTTCTCTGTGTCTGGCTACAAATTTTACTGCCACAAGGTAACCAAAACTGAAGGTGATGTTATAAGATTTGAGCTTTGATTTGTTCAAATTGTGGTTTTCTGGTTTGTAGCACCTTGCAGTACTGTGGGTAGATTCTGGCATTCTGGAGCAACCTGCTGCCTCCATCTTCAGGGTTGAAATATGTAGGTTAAGGAACTGGCTGAGTTGTATAGGGAGGTTGGATGGCGGTTACATAGATCCAAGGGAGGGTACAGGGAAATAGAGGGCAATCTGGGCCAGGGAAATGGTGGGTCTGTTTTAACCCTTTCACTGCTAGTACGAGTATGTTAAGTGACTCTCACCTCTGTGGTGAATTATTTTTGAATAAATCTTTTATAAATAATTTAAGTGCAAAGTATGAACATTTGTGATCAAATGTAACTAATCTTAACTCAGACAGGGAACAGGCAGTAGAAGTTGCAAAAATGTTGAATTATTCAGTATTTTTCACAAAGGAAAAGTCCATTTTAATCAGGGTTGTCCAAGATGACCAAAAAAGTACATAATTCACTATCCAGGTCGTATGACTATGTCACATGTTGACCAAAGTCCACAACTTTATTTAAAACTATTATAGAAAGCACCACGCACTATACAAAGCCATTTTTACTAGCCCTGTGAGATACCCATGTCACATGACCACAGAGCGCGTGCCTCGCAGTGCAGATGCAACCTTTTACATTTCTTAAGCTAGAGGGCAGAAGAATGCAGCCATTGAAATGAATGATGCTTCATTATATTCCCAATAGATGACTCTATGCCCTCGCCAATTTTGAATGAGATTGGTGCAAAGAACCCTGAGATTTGAAACTCTAAAGTCGCATTACGGGTTTTGTCGATCGCAGCAAGGATGCCAAATTTTTCAGAGATCGACATATGTCGACTGCAGCAGCGTAAGAGTTAAGGGGCCCACTGTTCTTCATAAGGGTTGGAAAATGGAATTAGACACAAGCTGCCCCTCTTCTGGGTCACAATATTATTTACAGGAGGATATCTGGAATTGTGACAAAAGACTGCCCTTTTCAGTATGATTTTCTCATCATCATCATCATCATCAGTAATCTGTCAAGACGACAGGTCCACAGTCTCTTTCAAAACAGTTCCTCCACTTAATGCGATCTAGAGCTTTCTCCTTCAAATGACAGTATCCTCTTCTGTCCCCAAGGTCATCCAGCATCTTCTTACGTCTTCTTCCTCGTCTTCTTGTCACTTCTATCCGCCCATCTATCTTTCCTTCGATAGCTTCTTTTAGAAGGCAGTTTCTGCGTAAAA